TTTTAACTCAGAATTTTATCACTCTCTCTTGTGTAAAATGCTAAGAGGAGTAAAGGTATACATGTCTTGTACCTGTGCAGTAATCAGAGCCAATTTTGACTCAACTAACAATAAAGAACCACTGCATTATTTTTAGTAGAATCCACAAAATAAAAGCAAGATGTTTAAATTAAAGCTCTGATAGGTTTATGCAGGATAAGGTGAGGAAGACAAAATCATAGACTGGGGAATAACTAAAATGCTGCTAGATTCTAGTAGAAAAATGATAAGGACTCAGTGAGGGAGAGGCTATACATAAATGAAATAGTAAAGGGGTATACAATATCAGCAAGACTTGACAGATGAGTTAATAGTAAATAAATTCAGGTAAAAGCCAGATATAGCATCAATTTTTTCTGTCATGGTAGCTAGAAAAGCCATGATCTAACCATGAAAAACAGAATTTTAAAAGAATTATCATTCTGATGATAAAGATGAATTTATTTCCAAAGCAGGAATAAAGACACAGACATGGAGAACAAACTTATGGATACCAAGGAGGAAAGGAGGAGAGGTGAGATTAATTGGGAGATTGGGATTGATATATGTACAGTACTATGTATAAAATAGATAAATAATAAGAAACTATTGCATAGCACAGGGAAACTCTATTCAGTGCTCTGTGGTGACTTAATAGGGAAGGAAATCCAAAAAAGACAGGGTGTACGTATATGTAGAGCTGATTCACTTTGCTGCACAGCAGATATTAACACAACATTGTAAAGCAATTATACTCCAATAAAAATTAATTTAAAAAAGAAAAAAAAAACTATTATTTTGAGAGTTAGAGATACATTTTTTAGATTTCTTAAGGCTGAAGTAATAATCAGCCTGTGATTTTAATCAGGAGAGTATAGTTTAATTACTCCTTCATTATCTCACACTAAAAGATTTTTTTTCTCATCTGAATCTTTTTAAGTTACTGCTTATACCACTCCTTCAGAATTAACTATTAATTAACTTGTATTATTAATGACCAATTCACGTAAATGTCTTATTTCTCAAACTAGATTTTGCTCTCCTAAAGAATAAAACCAATGTTTTACACTAGTATCCCAATATCTCATTCTCTGGCACTACCAATAACTCCATACTAACTAAACAATACTATTTTATAGCATATGGTTCAGACATCCTTTGAAAAATATAAAGGATATATTAAAAAGTATGATCAGTGTTCTAAGAGATGAAAGGAACTAGAAGGAACTCTTGGACATTAAATATACAATAGTGTCAGTAAGTAATGCATCAAAAAGAACTGAAAGATAAATTTGAGTAAATCTCTTAGAAAACAGAACAAAAAGATAAATACAATTAGAGAAAATATAAGATTTATAAAAGAAAGGAAAAGGACATTTCCTAGACCTGAAGGATGTGTCTCTACACTGAATGTGATCACCAAATACCCAGTGCAATGAATAAAGCAAGACCCACCCAGAAGTATATCAAATACTGAAATGGTGGAACACCAAGAAGAAAGAGATCAAATAAATGTCAGAGAGAAGAACTAGGTTATATAAAAAGGTTTCAGAATCTAATAGTATCAGACTACTCTATAATCACCTGGAAGCTAAAAGACAGTTTCTCAACAACTAAAATGAAGAAAAAGTATCTCCAATGCTGAGTTTTATATTCCAGCCAAACTATACAATATAAAAGTAGAATAAAGGTCCAGCTATTTTCAGACAAATATAACCTACAAAAATATGCTTCCTATGCACTCTTTCTCAGGAAGCCGAGAATATATTCCACCAAATCAAGGAAACAGGAAGACAGGAGATCCAAGAAAGAAAGGAATCAACACAGAAGAGAGGAAGAAGCAATTCATAAAACAACAGAAAAAAGAAATCCCAGGATGACAGCTGCTTAGCAGGCCTATAAAACAACAAGTCCAGATCAGAGCAGAAATGAGTGTTCAGGAGAGATGTACACAAGATTAAAATGGGTCTGAGGAGTAACATGATATGGTTGACAGTACTGGTAAGTCTGGTTGAGTTCGTGATAGGTGAAGAGTTTTAAAGACAAGCAACAAAATGATAAGGCAATTGTTAATTCCAGGGAAAACAAAACTTTAGCAAAAAAAGTAATCACAGTCACAGTAAAATACCTGATTTTGTGGTGAATAAATCTAATGCTTTACCTTTTGAGTACTTTGATCAAAGTTTTGAAAAAAATTGGGAGGTTGGAGCAAAAGAAGGAAAAAGTGGTATGAAAGAAAAAAAATTAAATCCTCATCTTTCATAGGACTAAATCAATAAACAATATCTACAACTTTTAAACGAAGACATTAGAGTGTAATCATGTTGCTCAGAAATATGGGGATAAGGAGCTAAAGATATCTAGGTGTTGAACAGGACTGCATCAGTGTGGAGGGATAGAACAGTAACTGCTTTTTTACATAAACTATCTGACTTTTGAGCTTCCTGGTGGCTCAATGACAAAGAACCTGCCCGCCAATGTAGGAGATGTGGGTTCCACCCCTGGGTTGGAAGGATCCCCTAGAGAAGGAAATGACAACACCAGTATTCTTGCCGGGAAATACTATAGACAGAGGAATCTGGTGGGCTACAGTCCATGAGGTCATAAAACGTGGGACAGGACTTAGAGACTAAATAACAACAGCATTTGACTTTTAAGGCTATTACATCTGTAACCCTGAAAAAAAAATTAAAAATTATGGATAATAACAAGTTTGTTTTTAAAATGATCTATTTTAACTAGAGATGCAAATAAGCAAAAAAGAATGGGATATTTTCCAATTTAGTATCTTCTGACATTTCTCCCTAGATGCTACTGGCCACCTCTCTTAGAAAATACTTTGCACAATTTCACAAACTTAAATAAATATATATATTTGGTCATCTTGATTTATATAGTTGCTATGAAAAAAAACTGATTCTGTTTTTATTATGGATAAGCCATTAAACTATGCATGTGAACATTTGAAACATATACTAATAAAAACTACAAGAGCAAGAAGGTTTAAGTAGCATTTCTGAAAAATGGTCGGAGAAGACAATGGCACCCCACTCCAGTACTCTTACCTGGAAAATCCCATGGATGGAGGAGCCTGGTAGGCTGCAGTCCATGGGGTCTCGAAGAGTCAGACATGACTGAGAGACTTCACTTTCACTTTTCACTTTTATGCATTAGAGAAGGAAATGGTAACCCACTCCAGTGTTCTTGCCTGGAGAATCCCAGGGATGGGGTCACACAGAGTCGGACACGACTGAAGTGACTTAGCAGTAGCAGTAGCAATTGAAAAATGGTGAATGGTCATTATTTGAGATGCAGTTTCAAGATTTTTTTTTTTCCTTTTGCACTTTCAAGATTTTTAGCTCTACTATGGTTTCTGGCCTGTAAAAATGATTCATCCATTCAATTTTTTTCATGCAATACACTTATAAATATCCTTTTTATAATCAAGGCAGCATGCTGACTTCTGAATTTCCTGAAATCTGTAATATTCTCACTTGTACTTAATGATCTTAAATACTGTAAAGTGCTTAATCTAGCAACATATATCTTAATCTGTTAACATTTGCAATTCTTTTTCAGGGAAAGATTCTAATCTGAACAATAGTATTTATTGCTTATGGATTGACACGGAGACCAAAAACACACAAAACTCCTAAATTCAATATTCTAAAGAAGCTTTCTATTATCTCTTCTAATTTTCCTCTTTGCCAAGAGTTGGATAAGTATCATATTATGTCACTGTAAAAAAGGTGGAAGGAATGTCATTTCTGCATTGTCAGGAAATAGTATTTCCCAAGCAAATATCAAAAATGTAGCAATAAGAAAAAGCATCAGACAGTAAACAGCAAGAAGATATGAGCCCTTCCTCTTATTCACCATGACATCCCTAGTGCCACAGAATCCAGCAATGTAATGGGTACTGAAATATGTTAAATGAGTGAATGAAAGACTGCTTAGTAACTTTGTCTTCTCTAATCAAGAGATACAGAAAGACCACATTCTGTTAGATATCAGGAACTGATGTATCTGACTAGGAAGGAAGATATGTCCTGCCATTTTCTGATCCCCATTACCTAAAGCATGTTTAAAGGCAAAAAAAAGAAAAAAGCCCCCGTCAGGAACAGATCACAGATCAGAGTAGCACCAGCCTACTCTGCCCTCTCTGAAAACTGAATGTCCTTAAGAGGAGTACAGTCAATAGAAAACTCACTTTTCTGACACAGGCACTTCCCACTCCATGCAAAATGAGGCCAAGTTAAAACCGCAAAGACTTGGCTAATGCAAGCACAAGTTAATTTATTATGATTGGCCCAAATCACCCACGTTTTTTTTTTGCCGCGCAGGCCAATATCCACAAACGCACTGACGCCTCATGTAGAGTGAACGTTTTCCCCAGTAGCTGAAGAGGAGCAGGATGTTTCTCAGCCAAAACCGAGAGAGACTGGAAATTGTGCAGTGTAGTAATCCAAACACCTTGAGTGGATCCCAGCCTTTAAAATTTACATTTCGTAAGAAATTCCTTCAATTTTCCATATTACAAGCTGGGGAAACAAATCTGAGCTTTTCAGGGACGAGTTCTTTTAAAAATACAACTGCTGCCAACTCCCCATCCCTCAGCCCCAGGCTGAACCACACACGACTCAGCTCTGAAGGGTCACAACCGAGCTGACCGCCTCCCCGCACGCCTTTAAAGAAGCCGCGCGCGGTCTAGCTGCCCCAGAGTTCAACTTCCGGCCACAAAATGAGAGGATGTTTTTCTCCCGGCCACGCCCTCCTAGCCACGCCCTCCACGCCCCGCGCTGCAAGAGCGCGCGGGCGTGCAGGCGAGGCGGAGCCCCGTGGGCGGTCGCTGTGAGTGTCCCTTTCACCCGGCGGCGCGCAGGCACGCCCAGGGCCCACGGACAGCGCGGCGGCGCGCGCGCGCGCTCCCGGTGCCCTCCCCCGTGACGTGCCTGGCCGAGGCCGCGCAAGGGCGCTGTAGCTGCCAGTGCCGCTGTCATGGCGTCTGAGGCGCTGTCTGAGGAGAACCCGCCGCGGTCTCTTTAGAGCGAGGGGCGGGCGGCTGGGTATGGAGAGCGGCCCCGAGAGCCTGCAACCGCTAGAACACGAGGTGGCCGCCGGGCCAGCGCCAGGGACAGGTTCTCCGCAGGAAGGGCAACAAGAGACCCGGCTCGCCGCTGGGGATGGTCCTGGAGTATGGGCGGCGGAGAGCAGCGGCGGGAAGGGGCAGGGGGCGGTGGCCGCCGGGAGGAGCCTCTCGGACTCGGCTTCTCCCGCCGGCTCTCCTCAGGTTCTGGTACCCTGCAGCTCGCTCCCGAGCTTGGACTTGAAGGAGAGCAATTTGGAGAGTCCTGCTGCCCAGAAGGAGCCTCTAAGAGGGCAACACAAGGTGACCGCCTCCCCGGAGACAGCCGAGGCCGGAGCTGACCATGGGCTGGGTCCTGCCGGAGAAGCGGGCGCCCGCCCGGATCCCGCCGGCACCTGCCAGGAAGAGTCGGCGGCCGCGGGCTCTTCGGAGCCCAGCAGCGGCGGCGGCCTCAGCAGCAGTTGCAGCGACCCGAGCCCTCCTGGGGAATCGCCGAGCCTGGACTCCCTGGAGTCGTTCTCTAACCTACATTCTTTTCCCAGTAGCTCCGAGTTTAATAGTGAGGAAGGAGCTGAGAACAGGGTCCCAGAGGAGGAGGAGGGCGCGGCGGTGTTGCCTGGGGCTGTGCCCCTGTGTGGAGAGGAGGAGGTGGAGGAGGAGGAAGGGGAGACAGCCCAGGTGCTGGCGGCCTCCAAGGAACGCTTCCCGGGACAGTCTGTCTATCATATCAAGTGGATCCAGTGGAAGGAAGAGAACACACCTATCATCACCCAGAATGAGAATGGCCCCTGCCCTTTACTGGCCATCCTCAATGTTTTGCTTCTGGCCTGGAAGGTACATTCCGCAGCTTCTATTTCCTACAGCTTTTGGGGAGAGGTAAAAGGGGATGAGGGAGTTGCTGCATTGTCAGCTGATATCTTCTTCCTTTCTTTCCTCATTCATCAGTAATCCCCGTTTCTTCTTACACGAAACTCACTCTGAGATTGTCTTTTTTAAGGAATATTCTCATATGTATGTCAGAAAGAACTGCTGGCAACCTAAGATCTCTCTTCTAGCGTTTAGTGATTAGCGTTCAACATTCAGCTGTGGCTGATACACTTGGAAACAGCCAGGTCTTAGAGGATCCTAAATCTTTTAATTATTTTTTAACTATATTTTTCTGTTATTCCTTCTTACTGACTTTATCCCATATGCAAAAGCGTGAAGAATTGGACAAAATCATCTTCAGAAGTTATCTTCAATCCGTTATATCAGGGAGCAAGTTTTGATGGTTATGTTTATGCTCCATTTGGGTGTGGATACTTAAGGACGTGGGAATAGGGAAGATGTGGCCCCTTAGACAAATTCCATTTAAGGAAAAGTAATGGCCTAATTACCATAATTACCTAATTACCATAACTTCTTGGTTTTCAAAGATTGTTTTTATTTTATGGATGGTTTTTACTTGCCTCATTTCTTTGACTCTAGTTAAATAGTCTAGCACTATTACCCATAACCACACAGAATGTGTTAAGGGAGCTAAAATTATAATAACAAATAAGAAAAGATAATTCAAGATAAAGGAGCAAAAGAGGGAAGGGCCCTTCAAAAGTAACTATACTGAGGACTCAGGAGTAAGTTACCTGTACATGAAGTGTCTTATTTAAGCTTGCAGTTTTAGAGTGCTGAGAAGATGCATTTTAGAGCACATATTTTACCGTCAAATTGAGAGCTGTACCTATAGGTAAAATGTTCCCTAGAAAAAAATAACCTGGATTCTTGTGACCAGTTAGAAAGAAAATCAAGTAAAGGGAATAGTGTTTATGAAATTCCCTCATCTTCCTGTCTAGCAAGGGATAATGCAAAAGAAATAAGATTAGAAATCTTACCAGTATCAAGTACATAATGGCACTCAAATGTTTTGAGTGGAGATTGCTTGCTCTTGAAGAGCTGTTGAGCTATTTGGAACTGCAGCATTGACTTACTTGAAATTACTAAAGAACAATGCAAGACAATATACTATAAATACTAGATTATAGGAAGCAGACTGAAATGCATTAGACATCCCAAGAGGGGAAATTTTCCTTTAGTCTGGCGTAGTTCCAGAGAGCTTCATGAAATTTTTATATGTTGAAGGAAGCTTTTAAGGAAAAAGTAGGATTTAAAATAACAGAAAAATGGGAATCCGAAAGAGGGAAGCATATAAACAAAAAGGAATGAAAACAGGATGAATAATACGTGTGTGTATGTGTTTTGGATGACAGGAGTGGAAAGTTCATATTGCAAGATAATAGAAAATAAGATTGAAAAGGTGAAGAGCCACTTGATGAAGGACCTTGAATGTTACACTAAGGAGTTAGATTTCATCCTATAAGCCAAAGTCTCCAGTCTGTTTGTCTGAAGGAGTAACTGTTTCCTTTAGACTTTTCTCACTTCGTAGTTTCTACATAGTACTGCAGAAGCTCAAAGGAAAGAGCAAGTGCTGTGGTCTCAAATATTTGAGGATAGATGAGCATTGGATTGGTCTTTGAAAGACAGCTTCAAGTGAATGACCATAACGTTTGAGTTCCCACTTTGTGTGAGATAATAGAATACAGAGATGAGTAACATGCAAGAGTGCCCTCATATAGCTTAGTATTGATTCAGAGACAGACATATAAACCATAATCCCAGTGCAGTGTGGAATTATGGTATGGAATTACAGAGAAAAGTGTAAGTGGGAGTGGAATGTGTTAAGGAAGAACCTCATAGAAGAGGTAACCTATATACTGATGGGTCTCATTGTCTGATGGGTGAGTGAAAGAAATTCCTTTCAGGCCGAGGGAATAGTGTATTCAAAGATGCTGAAGCAGAAAAACGTTTGTTTTATTTGGGGATTCCAACCTTGGAGTGCGGCGGAGGAGGAAAAGGAAATGACAGTAGCAGGGAATAAAATTGATGTTAGTTTAGACTCTGAATGAGAAAGCATGCTAAAGAACTTCAGGATTATCTTATAAGTCTTTGGGTCTTGCCTTTTTTTTTTCTGCCTTAAGGTTATTGATGCACACAAAAATTACTCATCAGTAATCGTCAGTGATTGATAGGGAGATATATTAAGAGAAGCAAGGTTGGATAGAGCAGTGTCCTAAAAGTGAGCCAGGGTTTCTGAGGTCAGCACTGTTCAGAATAGTACTTAGTTGTTTTTTGCCTTTTTCACTCTCATTCTTTCAGTGTCAATAGATTTCTCCAAACTGTATGATGTGTGATGACATCCTTGCCCTGACAGTTAATGGAATGTGTGCTCTGCTTTCTTGTGTTTACAATTTTTCTTAATTTTTATTTCTGGTATAGTAAATGTTGATAGATAGAATCCACTTAAACTGGAGCTTTTTAGGATCCTCAGTGATTTTTTAGGACTGAAGAGGGTCTTGAGACCAAAAAGTTTGAGAAATGCAGTTGTAGAGAAAAATAGTAAATAGACTTTGAAAGTTTTCCCTGGTGGCTCAGTCAGTAAAGAGTCTGCCTGCTATGCAGGAGATCTGGGTTCCATCCCTGGGTTGGGAAGACCCCCTGAAGAAGGAAATGGCAACCCACTCCAGTATTCTTGCCTGGAGAATTCCATGGACAGAGGAGCTTGGTGGGCTAGAGTCCTTGGTCACAAAGAGTCGAGCATGACTGAGTGACTTAACTTTCTTTCAGGATATGAAGGCAATTGTCAGAGTTCAGAGGACCCATCACTAGGCATGTTTAGACTTTATATATAGTTGATAGTACGAAGCTATTATAAATTATTGGATAAAGGAATGAAAGAGATCTTTTCATTTTAGATTAAACTAGAAGTCAGACTGTAGTGAGTGCAGCAACAAGAATTGATGAGATTAACTGTTTTGGATGGGGAATTCTTTGCCCCTTCTCTTTGATGAGGATAGTGTCACACAGCCTAAATGATGAATTGACTACTAACTGGATATAGGAAATTAAGGATGTGACACTTTTTCCAATTTGAGTAATAGAGAATTGCTTGGATCATTCAAAAGATAGAGAATGTGCTTTAGATGGGAAAGTTGATGCAAAGTTTGATTGTGTCAGTTTGGAATTGTCTTACTAACAGTAAGTCATAAAAATATAAATGTTTATTACACCTTCAGAAGATTAGAATGGGCCTCAGAAAAGAGGTTAAAATTATGGGAAAAATTGAATTGGAGAATTATTGCATAGATTTAAGTATGGTATCTATGAGAATAAATTAATTCTCCATAGAAAATGGTGAACAGTAGTTCTCAACTATTTGGGGAGGGACTTCCCCTGTTGCCCAGTGGCTAAGACTCTGCACTCCCAGTGCAGAGGAGCCCGAGTTCCATCGCTGGTCAGGGAATTAGATCCCACATGCTGCAACTAAGAGTTTGCATGTCGCAACTAAACATCCTGCGTGCTGCAACTAAAAGGTCCTACATGCCTCAGTGAAGACCCAGCACAGACATATAAATAAATATAAATAAATAAAGTTGGTGGGGAGAAGGGAATGCTAAGCAGTAAAGATGAAAGAGTATAAAAGAAACCAGTATAGGCCCAATTTGAGAATGAAATGAAATGAAATGAAAACTAGAAATGGGGCAATGTCATAACAGTAGTCTGGGGGAGAGACTCTTAATTTTTTTTTTTTTAAGTGACTTATTGTCAAATGCAACAGTGTCAAGGAACTGGTGAAGTAGGAAAGATTGTTGCCAAAAAGGACAGGTATGAGAATAGGGCATTACAAAGTTAGGATATCATAGAATCCTCAGAGGTGGTAAAATTCTCTTCAGAGGAAAAGAACAACAATCTTTTTTTTTTTTTTTTTACCCTGAAGTAATAGAAGATACAAAGACAAGGTTATGTTAATTAAAATGGAGAGAGAAGTGAAAATTGAGGCCTCATTCTCAGTTTTGGCAAAATGACCGTTGATCTCATCAGTAATAACTCTTGAACTTGTCAGTAGTTAAGAGGAGAGGTTGCAAAGCATCAAAGTTTGATTTTGTAGGAATATTATGTTGTATTTTAAAGAAGTTCTCATCTTGTTGGAAATTATGCCTAGGAACTGAGGCATAAGTAGAAAGTTGTAAGTGGCCATGGATAAATTGGTGTACTCTTTTAAAACTTCTAGTATGTCCATTTTGCTCCTCCCCCCATTGGTTCTCTAATCTCTGGAAACCAGAGCAGAAAGAATGGCTGGTTAGCATTATCAAGTATTGGGTTTTTCAAGTGTTGATTCATTGAGAGTCAGTGGAGTTAAGGGTTGAAAGTAAAAGAGCTGATCATCTCTTTTTGGGGTGAATGAAGCAATGAGAAAAATCAATAGGGAATTATCTAGCAGTTCAGTGGTTAGGGCTCTTCACTTCCACTGTAAAGGGCACAGGTTCTGTCCCTGGTTGGGAAACTTTAAAAAAAAGAAAGAAAGAAATCAATAAACTGAATACATTAGGAGAATTTGAATGATTCAAAGGAAGGAAGTGCCATGTTTCTGAGTGAGAGATGACAGGTAAAATTATCCAATATGGTAAGTAAGTACTGATTTGGAAATGTTGGAGTTTTAATTAGAAGTGTTGGTTTAGGACTGATGGAAAATAGGTGATCATTAATAATCTGTAAAATAGTTGAGCCATGATAATCCAATAAATCAATAAAGAAGGAAATCTGTTCATTAATTTAATTTGAGCTCAAATTTTCTAATTCTCTTAACTGACACACGGTAAATTGACTCAAATTTATGTCTTGGAACACATTTTCATTTGCTTCTTTAAAAGAGACTGGTTTTGGTGGTTTTTAAATAATTTTTCTTTAGTCTTTCATTTTATCTATCAAACGCAATGCCATTTATAGGTTTACTTGAGGACTGT